TTTCCATATTTTATGTCTCTGTCTTCATTTACCTCCCTTTAGAGGATGATAACAGAGCCAGATGAAGGTCCACATAAATATCGTCTGACTAGCCTGCAGACTTCTTCATGGCAGCTCTTTCAAGACAAAGCAGAACCACATGCCTTTTACTCAAGATTGAGAGGGACCTTCCAAGTGCCATGCACCTTCCTTGTTGCTGAGGAGAGAGAGATGACTGTCTTCAGGGGTCAGTGTAATAGATGAGGCAGACAGTCAGGCATGAGGCAGTCCAGCCTAGGCTCTAACAGGAGAGCCACAGCACTCTGGGTACTTTGATGTCTGTGTTGTGGTACCAGGGAGCTATAGAGGACAGGAATGCCACCCTATTGCACTGTGACAGACACAGAGCCTGCAGAATGATGAGATAAGGCAGAGAGAACCAGCCAAAGACTGTACACTGCCAGAGGAAACTACTGAGTCTCTCTGTCTCACTGCTCAGCTAGAGAGAGCTCCAGGAAAGGGTGTGATGCAAAACTGTGAATGGGCTGGGCACTGGTGGCTCATGCCTGTATTCCTAGGTACTCAAGAGTCTGAGATCTGAGGATCCCAGTTTGAAGCCAGCTCAAGCAGGAAAGTCTGTAAGACCCTTTAGCTATCAAAAAAGCTAGAAGTGGAGCTGTGGCTCAAATGATAGAGCACTAGCCTTGAGCATAAAGTCTTAGGGACAGTGCCCAGGTCCCAAGTTCAAGCCCCAGACTTATTTAAAAAAAAACACACCTAAAACAAATAAAATAGCCAAACTGAATGCCTGGGTAGTTCCCATACAAATCAAATCAAGACCTCTGGGGCATGTCTATTGTTGGTGTGTATTCTGTGCAGCCAGGACTGAGAAATACTAACTTAGAGGGGGGAGTGCTACCATGGCCTTTCATCAAATACAAGTGTGTTGTACAGCTATCAAGCACTGACTACTGGGAACATAGTAAGAAGGCAGGACAGACATAGTCCCTACTATCATGGATCTCACAATCCAGAGAGGGACATAAGTCAAGTAACCATGGGACTGGTTCTGATCCTGAGCTCTCGGACACTTCTTTTTTCTTCTCTAGGCCTCAAGTCTTCTGTCAAATGAGGCACCAGACCTGAATGATCTCTAATCCTTATCTCACTGCTCCTTCTAATCCAACAGTTCATTGACCTATATATACTCTCTGTACCTTCCCTCTCTCCCCATCCTTTCTCCCTCCCTTCCTTTCTCCCTTGATCCCTCTCTCCCTTCCTTCCTATGATTTTTTAAACGGTAAAATGAACATAATGTAAAATTTACCGCCTCAATTTTTTTGTTGTTGTTGGTTGTGGGCCTGAACTCTGGGCCTGGGCACTGTCCCTCAGCTCTTCAGCTCAAGGCTAGCCCTCTACCACTTGAGCCACAGCACCACTTCTGGCTTTTTCTGCTTATGTGGTACTGAGGAATTGAACCCAGGGTCTCATGCATGCAAGGCAAACATTCTACCACTGAGCCACCTTCCCAGCCCCTACCTCAACTATTTTTAAGTGTACAGGGCTATGGTATTATCTACACCGTTGTGCAATCCTAACTACCATCCCTTCCCAGAATCTTTTCATGTTCCCAAATTGAGACTTTGTACTCAGTAAGCACTGACCCCACCCCACTGTCTCTCCCTTCAGCCTAACAATTATTGTTTTACTTTCTGACTGTGAGCTCCCCTAGGTAGCTCATAGGATTGGAATCATACATGTGTATTCTTTTATGTTTTGATGATCTCACTGAGCATAATGTCCTTAAGATTCAATCATGGCATAGCATGTGTCAGAATTTCCTTCCTTTGTAAACAATAGCCTGTTTGTATGTACCTGTGAAAGGATAACTGGATGTTTCCCACCTTTTAGTTTATGAATAATTTGGCTGTGAACATGACTACACAAGTATCTCTTTGAGACCCTGCTCTCTATTATTATTATTGTCATCATCATATCATCATCATCATTATTACTAGTGGTTCTGTGGGTCTTTTTTTTTTTTTTTTTTGGTTGTGGGACTTAAACTCTGGGGCCTGGGCCTTGTCCCTCAGCTCTTCAGCTCAAGGCTAGTGCTCTACCACTTGAGCCACTCTGCCACTTCTGGTTTTCTGAGTGGTTTATTGGAGATAAGAGTCTCATGGACTTTCTTGCCCAGGCTGGCTTTGAAGGACAATCCTCAGATCTCAGCCTCCTGAGTAGCTGGGATTACAGGAGTGAGCCACCAGTGCCAGGTAGTTCTGAGGGTCTTAACTCAGGGCTTCTCCACTTGCTAAAGCAAGGGCTCTACCACTTGGAGCCTGTATTCCTAAACTTTGTTTTCTAGCTAAGGTCTCCAGTCTTTATGGGGGACTTGACTTGGACCTTGATCCTCTTACTGTTTGCATGGCTTTAATTCCAGGCACATACCACCATGTCCAGTTTATTTGTTGAGATGGAGTCTTGCTAACTTTTTACAAGTATGCTTAATACTCTGTCCTTTTGATCTCTATCTCCTGAGTAGATGGGATTGTAAGCCTGTACCACTGTACCTGGCCCCTTAATACTTTTGAATATATATTCAGAAGTAGAATTTCTGGATCTTATAGTAATTTTATGTTTAAGTTTTTGAGAACCCACATTACTGTTTTCCATTGTGGTTGCATTATTTTACATTATTTAACTGTGCAGAAAAGACCCATTTTCTCCACATCTTCACCAGCACTTATTATTGTTGATAATAGCCATGGTAATGGATATGGGATAATATCTCATTGTGGGATGCATTTCTCTAATGCTTAGTAAATGGAAATAGTTTTTCATATATTTGCTTGCCATTTGTATTTGCTTGCCTTGGAGAAATGTCTGTTAAAGTCTTTTCTCTATGTTTTAAATTGGGGAGGTTTTTTGTTTTTGTTTTTAAGCAATACTGGGGATTGAGTTTAGGGCCTCTTTTGTGCTAAGCTGTTGCTCTACCACTTGAGCCATACCTCCAGTGCAGTGGTTTTCTTTTTTTTTCTTTTTTTTTTTTTGGGTCCAGTCATGGGGCCTGAACTCTGAGCCTGGGCACTGTCCCTCAGCTCTTCAGCTCAAGGCTAGCGCTCTACCACTTGAGCCACAGCACCACTTCCAGCTTTTTTTTCTCTGCTTATGTGGTACTGAGGAATCGAACCCAGGGCCTCATGCATGCAAGGCAAGCGCTCTACCACTGAGTCATCTTCCCAGCCCTGAACATATTTTCTTGTGCTTGTTAATTATTTGGGTTGCTTGTTTGTTTTTTGCTGTGCTAGAGATCGAACTCAGAACCATATACATGCAATGTAGGTGCTCTACCACTGAGCTCCATCTCCAGTTTTAAATTTTGCTATTGTTCTATTTCTGTATTTTTTTTCATTTGTTGCCTGTGCTTTTGGTGTTATATCCATGAAGTCATTGCCAAATCAATTGTCATGAAGCTTTCCCCTATGCTCTTTCTCTTCTAAAAGTTTTACAGTTTTTGCTGTTTATATTTTTAATTCATTTGGAGTTAATTTTTGTATACAGTGTAAGTTAAGGGTTCACCCTTACTCTTTTGTATGTGGACATCCAGTTTTTCAGTACCATTTGTTGAAAGGATTGTTCTTTCCTCCTTTGAATGGTCAAAGGTTGGTCTGTAGATAAAATAAGCAATGCACGTGAAACAACTAATACCATGTGTTAAATCAGCTTCTGTCACTGTGACAAATGCCTCAGATAAAACATAAGCACTTGCCAGGCACTGGTGGCTCATGCCTGTAATCCTAGATACTCAGGAGGCTACAATATGAGGATTGCAGTTCAAAGTCAGTTCAGGCAGGAAAGTCCATGAGACTCTTATCTCCAGTAAACTACAAAAAAAACCAGAAGCAAAGCTGTGGCTCAAGAAGTAGAAGCTAGCTTTGAGCACAAAAGCTCAGGGACAGTGCCCTGAGTTCAAGCCCCAGGACTTGCAAAAAATAAAAACAACAAAACACCTAAACCTTAAACACCTTAAAAGGAAGAAAGGTTTATTTTGGCTCATAGTTTCAGTACAAGGTCAGTTGGCTCTGTTTGTGGGAAGAACATGGTGGAGGAAAAATCCTCACCTCATGGAGACCATTAAACAAAACAAGTGAAAGGAAGGGGCCAGGGTCCCCTTCAGGATCACATCTCCAATGATCTAACTTCCTTCCATAAAGCTTTACTTCCCAAAGGTTCTGCCACTGCTCAATAGAACCACAGATTGTCAACCAAGCTCTTAGCACCTAGACTTCTGGGGAACATTTAAGATCCAAATCATAACACCATGTTTCTAGTGATCTACTGAATGATGCTTCCTTTTGCTTCCATTTTCCCCCCTGAGATATAGTTTTTAACTGTGGCAGTTGATATTTAATAATTATAATAGAAGGGCTGGAAAGGTAGCTCAGTGGTAGAGTGCTTGCCTAGCATGCATGAGGCCCTGGGTTTGACTCCTTAGCACCATATAAGCAGAAAAAGCCGGAAGTGGTGCTGTGGCTGAAGATCTGAGGGACAGTGCCCAGGCCCAGAGTTCAGGCCCCACAACCAACAAAATAAATAAAATAATAATTATAATAGAAAAAACCTATAGATAACTATGTTCTGAACTATATTCTAAGTGTCTTATTTATATTAGCCCATTTGATTTTCATAGCCATTCAGTGGAATAAATACTATAGTTTTCACTAGGTTTGACAGCTACAGTTAAGTAATTGGCCTCATCTCACACAAGTAAGAAGTGGTGAAGCCTGTATTCAAACCCACAATCTGTGGGCTCCAGTGGCCTATTGTTAGCTCTTTGGTCTAGATTTCAGAGAATGGAGACCACGTTATGACATTTGCCCTTCCTGGGCCCAGCACTCTCCTTGAGTGTTATTTTGGGAAAGTAGCACCCCCAGATTGGCTCTGTTGCATGGCCATGAGTTGGGTATAGGATATTCTATTCCAGGATAAATGTCAACAAGGTTTTCTCTCTGATTTTACAGAAAAGGCAACAGATGGCTCCCTACAGAGTGAAGATTGGACATTGAACATGGAGATCTGTGACATCATCAATGAGACAGAAGAAGGGTATGTGTCCCAGTCATCCCTTCCTTCTGGGAAGCTCTCAGCTCTTAGGAATCATTGAAAGCCTGTTAGGACTCAAGGGTGGTGGATTTGACTTTCTGTAAGTTTTAGTCTGTTTACTTTGGCATTTAGTAGTTTTATCTTTTTCTTGACCATCCCAATGGTAATGACAGTCTCTTGGAATCACACAGGGTCAATAATCCCTACAGTCAAATCATTCAATCCCTACTCCTGTCTGGACTCTGTCTCCACTTGGCAAACATGGTACTCTTTCTCTTCCCCAGAAATCAGAGGTGCCACCATGCACAAGGAAGGGAGGTCCGGGGTATGGGTTGATAAGGCAGGATGTGGGAAAGGACAGACATGGTACAGAGCTGCAGAGTGTTTCTGGCATAGACTTACCCCTGGGTTCCCTCTTGCATTCCTGCACTACTGGACCATTCTTGCTGTCACCTATGGCCTATCTTTTGCTTTGTAGCTCCTCTCTATTTTTAGCCCCACCAATACCATAAACACAGTTATTTATTGTCACCATGCCTTTTCAAACCCAGGTGACATGTTGGGACCAGTGCAGCCCTGGCTTGCATCTTGGCACTATCATTCACTAGTCTCCATCATGTAAAAACTAGCAAATTACTTAACCTCAAAAAAAAAGTCTTTCTTTCATTCAACAGATGTTTGTGAAGTGACTGCTTATGCCAGGCCTTTTTGTTAAGTCCAAAGGACATAGAAATGTGCAAGATATGGAGCTGGGAAGTTGGCTCAGTGGTAGAGCACTCGCCTTGCATGCTTAAGGCCCTGGGTTCGATTCCTCAGCACCACATAAGCAGAAAAAAAAAAAAAGCTCAAGTGGTAGAGTGCTAGCCTTGAGCTGAAGAGCTGAGGGACAGCACCCAGGCCAAGAGTTCAGGCCCCACGACCGGACCCAAAAAAAAAAAAGAAATGTGCAAGATACACTCCTTCCCCTCAGGGAGCTGTCAATCTCAAGGGGGAGATAGGCTGTGAAGTAGACAGCTAAAACTCATAAGCTGATCAGATGAGAGAACACTATGGAAAGAATGGGAAAGAAAAGGCTAGAGATTCACAGTATTAAATAGAGTACTGAAGGAAATTCTCACTAACAGGGTGACATTGAATAAAGCTTTGAAGCAGATGAGGGAGTGAGGCATAAGGATTATACAAAAGAAGAGCCACCCAGGCAGAGGGAATAACAAGCCCAGAAGTCTAGGAGGGTATCTGGTGTGTTTGAAGAACTGCAAAGTGGCTGGTAGAAGCCAGGTGCCGGTGGCTCATGCCTGTAAATTTAGCTACTCAAGAGGCTGAGATCTGAGGATCATGCTTCAAACCCAGCCCCGGCAGGAACACCCATGTTACTCTTATCTCCAGTTAACCACCAGGAAACTGGAAGTGGCACTATGGCTTAGGTGGTAGAGCACTAGCCTTAGGCTGAAGAGCTGAAGGACAGCACCCAGGCCCAGAGTTCAAGCTCCACAACAGACAAAAAAAAAAAAAAGTAGCTGGTAGGCCTACAGTAGAATGACTGAGGAAGGAGGTGCTACAAGATGAGGTCAGTGATATGGGAACCCAGAAATGCAAGGACCTGTGGGCATTAGAATAACTCTGGCTTTGACCTCAGGTAAGAGAGGAACTCACCCACTCATGACTTTCATGGGAGAAGCAGAACAGAAAAGTGGCATGGTTCAACTTTTCATTTTAGAGTTCGCCCAGTCCACTGGGTTCAGAATGGCCTGGCTAGGGCAGGCCAGGGACAGAGCAGTAATCCAAAAGGAGATTTTTACAGTCATCCTGGTGTGAGATGATGGTGGCCTCCACCAGGAAAGTAGTAGGATACAGAGAGAATGGTTAGGTTCTGGCTAGATTCAGAAGGCAGAACCAGCAGAATCTGTGATATGAGGCAAACAAAGAGACAAGGATAATACCAAGGTTTGGGTTCTGGAGAACCACATGATGGAGCAGCTACCTGTAAGACAAATCAGCCTAGGGGACAGAGACAAAAGCCAGATCCAAGCTGCCATCTCAGCTCCCAGAAGAAATGTTGTAAAGTGACTGACTGACTGCACAGGTGACTGTGGAGTTAGAAGCAGGAGCCTTCATCAGCCCATCTCTAATACCATAATTTCTGGCTCCTTTCTTCTCTTGTACTGCACTCAAATACCACTCATTCTCTCATTTATCCAGACTCCCCACAATTTGACCCCTACAGATGGAGAGTAGGATTCTAGGATTCCAAGGTGAATGTGCCAGCCCACCCATGAGAGCTCACTTGGGAGTGCTGGCCAGACTGAGGTGAATATGGCAAGCTCTGAGGGAGAAGCACAGCACATACTTTGTGAAAGGACCCACATTGAGCTGGACTTCAAAGCTGGCAGGAAGAGCAGTGTTCCCTGTGCCCAGGGGCATGAGGAAAGCCAACAGGTTGCAGGATACAGACAGTCTGGGGTACAACGTGAAGAATGAATGTCTGAAATTAGGTTGGAGGGTTGCCAAGGTTGGTATGTGTTTATCTCCTCTATGGTTTCCCCCAGAGGTTGCATCCGCTCCTGTCTTTTCCTTCTCATCCTGTTTCTGCAGCAGATCTCAGCAAGTGATTGCTAACAAACCTTCAAGGCTTTCTCAGGCTCTTAGGACAAAATAACCCTCAGCATACTCCTTTATAGCCTTTCAACCCCACTGATCGTTCAAGTCTCTAGCTTGAAATTCTCTTCAAAGATGAGTGCCATACAAACATGCAAACAACTCTTATTTTCCAGTGAATTGCTCAAATACCTATGTGGCTTGAGGGCAGATGGCCAAGGAAGTATGGGATGTTCCTCCTTCCAAAGGTGCTAAATCCCTTCCAAAATCTGCCCAGTCTGGTGAGCTGTTTTCTCAGTCATGGCTTACAGAAGGCCTGGTCACAACTTCTACTGTGATCCAAGCTCCTGTTCTTGTGTGTTGGAACTAGGGGACTATGGTAATTCTTGAGGAGTTTCTGTGCTTACCTCTACTCTCAGGTGATTGTCAAATTCCTTCCCAAAACACCACAAACTGGACTGAGTGCCATCCATTCCTTTCTGCCTCTCACTGGAGGGCTCCTGAATGCTGCTCCTTGTATTTCTTTGCCCAGTCTCTTTCTCTAGTTCCCAATAGTCACTGACCTCAGTGTCAATCTCACTTCTCTGGAATGGGAGGGGTTTTCTCCCAAGTTGAACAAGTCCTCCGTTATACAATTTCATAGTATCTGGTGTTGGACATCATATATCTGTGTGATGTCTGTTAGTGTCTGTGTGTGCTGCAAACCCTCTAATCTGTGAGCTCCATGAGGGTAGGAATCCTGTTTTGTTCACCATTTTATCCTGAGTAGAGCACAGCATGCATCTTGTCAGCTCTTAGTAAATCTTTTTTTAAGTAAGTGAATAAATGAAGGAAAAAATTAAGGTATTCATGGTCTGATAAACAATTCAGACAAGAAAGACAGACCGACAGACTGACAGACACTCATACACACACACACACACACACACACACACACACACACACACTATTGTCATGGAGGCAGAGTAACACAGTGGCCACTTATTAGCTTTGGGGCTGACACTCAAGTAGAATCTTGTAGGATACCAGGGTATTAGCAAGATGAGACAGGTTGATGATGGTAGGAAGGTGGAGCTTCCTGGCCAGAGAGCAGTGCATAGATCAGGTATATAGGAAGCATCCAGGAGTGGATTTAGGGTTGTGGAACCTGGGGTAGAAGCCTATATCGCCTCTCACTTGTACAAACAGTAGGTGTGTTACTTTGTCTTCCTGTGTCTCAAGTTTCCTCATTTATAAAATGGAGGTTCCAGTAGTATTCAGTATTCATTTCATGTGGCTGTGAAAGGATTAAAGAAGCAAATGCATATAAAGTACCTCGCTATTTGGACATGGTGTCTATCTCCATGTGTGTCAGTCAGCTTTCTATTATTCAATTGTTGTAACAAATACTTGAAATAATCAACTTAAAAAGAGGAAAGCCTTATTTTGGCTCAGAGTTTGAGGATTTCAGTCTGTTAGTCGGTTGCTTTTGGGTCTGTGGAAAGGTAGCATATTATAATAGGAGAGTGTGTGGCAGGAGAAGCTGCTTAATTTATGCTGGCCAGAAAGCAAAGCAGAAAGGGACTTGAGTCTCAATATTCTCATCAATCACACACCACAATGACCTTATTCCTTCACTGAGGCCCTACCTTCTAAAGGTACTACTACCTCTGAGTAGAACCACAGACTAGAAGCTCAGCTTATAATTCATGGGCCTAAAGCTGCCATGTATATTGATAAATCTAATAAAATAATGAAATCAATTATTAAAAAAAATAACTCATGGGTCTTTGGAAAATACTTCAAATTCAAATATAGTACCATGCCACTTATATGGATTGGCTATTTATCTTTTAGTATTTTTTTTTCTTGGTCACGGGGCTTGAACCTAGGGACTGGGCAATGTGCCTGAGTTTTTTGCTCAAAGCTAGTGCTCTACCACTTTGAGCCACAGCGCCACTTCCCATTTTCTGGTGGTTAATTGGAGATAAAAGCTCTCCTCATCTGAGGCCTCCCCTACCTTCTAAGTTTCTCTTTAATTTGAGCCATATCATTCACAGAGAATGGAACATGCACCCACCTAGTGCCCTCTACGCCTGCCACCTCATGGAGGAAATACATAGTGTTGGTGGCTAGGGATAGGGGAGCTTTAGTAGCCTGAGAGTGTGTGAGGGGGAAAAGAAGGAGGGGAGGATAGGGGAGGATTGGTAGAGGTAGAAGGTTTTGAGGGGACAGTTTTAGCTAAAAGAACTTGGGTTGTGGAACAAGAAGAGTGTAGGGATGGCTGGGAACGGAGGTGGGGAAAAATGTTTGTGCATAGGGCACCTCTGACCTTTTGCCATTCCACTGGAAGAAATTGTCCATATTTTGCAATATTTGAGGGAGTCAAAAGTCCCATACTCGGGCCATTGGATTGTGATTGTCCAATTGATACTGAGGCCAAATTTCTATGCAGAAACAGATTCTTTGATTTTAGATCCAGTTTCCAACCCAGAATAATTAGAAGACAAACCAGTTGGAATCAGCTGTCAGCTGGAATGGACTATTGTGACCCCATGTAGACGGCAGTGAGGACAAGGATGATGACCAAGAACTTCTATTAGTTCATCCTCAAATACTAGGTTAAGGCCAGCATGATCCTCCACTAAGTGGCTGGGCATCCCTAAAAACCAGTAAGCCAGAGGGGGTCCCTGGAAAACCAGGAGTTTCACTCTCCAGGGCCCTTCAAGGAAACCAGAATCCTTACCTCCCAGAAGGAGGTGCTCTTAGGAGAAATGGCTAGTGGTGGTGTAGCGTAGAGGTGATCAAGTGGTGAATGATCTCTGGTCTGGAGGTCAAGAGGGAAGGGGAGGGAGGAAAGAATGGAGGGATGAAGGGAGAGAGATTAGGCTAACAGCAGGCTAACCACAGAGTTTACTAATCCAATCAGTAAAGACCTAGCTCAAGATCTTGCCTTACCTATGTAGGCTTAAGCACTTAAGCAGCTAAAGCCATGACCTGGTGAGAGTGGAGACTTCTGCACAGTCCTCTGTTTGGTACGACTTGCACACACACACCCTTTTTTGTTTGTTTGTTTGTTGTGGGGCTTGAGCTCTGGGACTAGGTACTGTCCCTGAGCTCTTCAGCTCAAGGCTAGCGCTCTACCACTTGAGCCACAGTGCCACTTCTGGCTTTCTAGTGTTTTATTGGAGATAAGAGTTTCATGTACTTTTCCTGCCCAGGCTGACTTTGAACCGTGATCCTAGTTGGGAGGAACCCTGCTGACTATCTGATTGTTGCATACCCTAGTGAGCCAGAGATGCTGGTGCTCCACCTTCCAGAAGTGTGCTTTACCATCCAGAATTATGCAGCCTTGGGGCACAGGAGAAGTCTAGGAGGAGAAGAAAGCGTGCACTGAGAGGGATGGTAGCTGTGGGACTGGAATGATCATGGGTGGGAGAGAAGAAATCAGTCTAAATTCCTGGCCAATAGGCACTGAGTTTCACAAGCTCAACCCATCCTAGCAGAGCTGCTCACGATCTATTTGCAGAAATTTGCATCCCCTTTTGGGAACTGCACCTGACGTAAGCACACTGGCCCGAAGCCATCTACCTCTTAGCTACCCTTTGACACAGGAGCCAAGAATTCCCATAAGGGCAGCTATGTTTCAAGTTTGGAATGGGAAATGGGAGGGGAAGAGTTTAGGGTTTTTTTTTTTTGTTTTGTTTTTGGTTGGTCATGGGTCCTGAACTCTGGGCCTGGGTGCTGTCCCTCAGCTCTTCAGCTCAAGGCTAGAGCTCTACCACTTGAGCCACAGTACCACTTCTGGCTTTTTATGTTATGTGGTGCTGAGGAATCGAACCCAGGGCCTCATGCATGGGAGGCAAGCACTCTACCACTGAGCCACCTTCCCAGTCCCCTTTTTTTAAAAATTTCTTTTAGAAGCTTGCCTTGAGATTGCTTTCCTTGAGACTCTGGCTTTTTCTCTAGATTATGCTGTGAGCAGAACTTAACCTATCCTCCCCTGACTCCCTAATACCCATCTGACAGGACATTTTCATTTGGCAAATAAAGTTCAAACACTGTTTCCCAAACACTAAACAGGAAAGACTAGAGTATGATCACTGTGATAGCACAGGGCTGGCCTGCAGCAGGTCAAGGTAACAGCATCCGGGGACTGGGCTCTACGCCAGGGCCAGCTCTTAGTCCCACAACCTTGTTGAATCCTGGATTAGAATAATTTATATAACATATTAGACATAAAGCCTCCATAGAATAAGTTTGCTTAGAGTGCTGGCTTGGGATCACAATATTCAGGTGTAATTGAAGGAAGAATTAATTCCAAGTTCAAAACCCTCAGTTTAGGAATAGGCTTTTGAACAGGGCCCATTTGTAAACTAAAGTTTGCCTCAGATTTTCTCTGAGAATCCACGTTGGATTGGTTGCCTAAAAATACACGATCCTTGGTTTTTGTGGGGGAGACTTGAGTAAATTTTCTCTGGGAAAAGGAGTTCCTGGAAGTCTAAGAGCAGCTGAACTTCCTGGCCTCAGCAAAGATCTGACCATTCTTTCTTCCATATCTCTCTTGTGATTTCTCCAGAAGATTCTTCAGTATATCCACACACCAATAGATCAGTTACTGTCTTGAATGAACAATTGGCATGTGATATAAAATTCAAAAGGCTTGTAAAAAGGCAATCCAATGAAAAGCTTTCCTCCTCTTTCCCTCCTTTGGGACAAGTACCATCACCAAGTTTTTCCAGCTCCCTCCAAAATCTCTTCTGGACACTGGCATATGCTACCTTTACATTTGCTGCCCTTTTATAATGTAAAAGTAGCATTCCATATTCACTATTCTGCCATTGACTTTATATACATGCCTATTTTGCCCCCAGTGGAACCAGGGCCTAGTGGGTACATGCTTGGCAAATACTCTACCACTTAGCTACATCCCCAATCCTTATGCACATGATGTGAATTTAGTCATAATGGTGGATAAGGACTTCCTTTATTATTATTTATTTTTTTGCCAGTCCTAGGGCTTGAACTCTGGACCTGTGTTATCACTGGAGCCACAGCTCCAGTTCTGGCTTTGTAAAAATAGTGTTTAGTACAATACTCAATAGGAAGTGTACTCATTACCTTACTCATGTAACTGTAACCCTCTGTATAGTATCTTTACAATAAAAAAAAAATAGTGTTTAGTGTAGATAAGAGTCTCCTTCCTGGGCTGGCTTTCAACCTAGATCCTCAGATTTTAGCCTTTCTGAGTTGCTACCAGCATCTGGCAAGAACTTTCTTTATTCTTCTTTGAGCTGCATAGTATTCTCCTGGGTAGATGAACCTGTTTCCTGTTGGTAGGCATTCAGTTTGTTTCAACTTTTTAATGGCTGCAAACATGCTAAAGTGAATAATTGGGGTTTTTTTTTTCAGTCCTGGAGCTTGAACTCAGGGCCTGGGCACTATCCCTGAACTTCTTTTGCTCACGCCTAGCACTCTACTACTTTAGCACAGCACCATTTCTGGCTTTTTCTGCTGCTTTTTCTGGTATACTGAGGAATTCAACCAGGGCCTTCATGCATGCAAGGCAAGCTCTCTACCACTAAGCCACATTCCCAGCCAAAGTGAATAATCTTGTTACGTGTGCTAGCTGACAATGGGAGTGAATCTGTCAGCTAGTTCCCCTGTGAGGACCTTAATATGTCTATCCTTTTCTCTAGGCCAAAAGATGCCATTCGAGCTTTGAAGAAGCGGCTCAGTGGGAATCGGAACTACAGAGAAGTGATGCTAGCACTAACGGTGAGCATTCTTTCCTAAGAGGAAAACCTCAGGATATTTCCAGCCTTATCCCTCCCATGACCTTCCCTCTGTCCTCTCACACAGCCTCTTAGTGGATGGCCTGTGCTGCTGGTGTTCAGCACAGCCTTCTGGTATGCCTTTGGGGGGATGGTAAAAGTATGCCAGCAACAGAAGGTGTGGGTAGCACTGTTGAGTAGAGGGGCCAGCGTGGATCTCCATCAGCCCACTGTGAGACACTAGGTGTCTGTTTCCTCTTCTTTTTTTTTTTTTGTCAGTCATGGGGGCTGAACTCTGGGTCTGGGTGCTGTCCCTCAACTCTTCAGCTCAAGGCTAGCACCCTACCACTTGAGCCACAGCTCCACTTCCCGCTTTTTTCTGCTTATGTGATGCTGAGGGATTGAACCCAGGGCCTCATGGATGTGAGGCAAGCACTCTACCACTGAGCCAACTTCCCAGCCTTTTTTTTTTTTTTTTGTCGGTTGTGGGGCTTGAACTCTGGGCTTGTGCGCTGTCTCAGCGCTCTTCAGCTCAAGGTGAGTACTTTACCGCATGAGCCACAGCGCCACTTCCAGTTTTCTAGTGAGTTATTGGAGATAAGAGTCTCACAGCCTTTCCTGCCTGGGATGGCTTTGAACCGTGATCCTCAGATCTCAGCCTCCTGAGTAGCTAGGATTGCAGGCATGAGCCACTAGTCCCCGGTGTGTGTGTGTGTGTGTGTGTGTGTGTGTGTGTGTGTGTGTGTGTGTGTGTGTGTGTGTGTGAGCCACTAGTCCCCGGTGTGTGTGTGTGTGTGTGTGTGTGTGTGTGTGTGTGTGTGTGTGTGTGTGATGGGGCTTGAACTTGCAGTCTTGAGCACTGTCCTTGACCTCTTTTGCTCCAGGCTGGAGCTCTACCACTTTGAGCCACAGCACTACCCCCAGTTTGGAGCAGTTTTCTCTTTATAAAGATGTTTTAGGGCTGGGAAGGTAGCTCAGTGGTAGAGCGCTTGTCTTGCATGCATGAGGCCCTGGGTTCGATTCTTCAGCACCACATAAGCAAAAAGAAAAAAGCCAGAAGTGGTGCTGTGGCTCAAGTGGTAGAGCGCTAGCCTTGAGCTGAAGAGCTGAGGGACAGTGCCCAGGCCCAGAGTTCAGGCTCTATGACCGGACCCCCCCCCAAAAAAAAGATGTTTTACCTCTACCTGTCCAATACCTATTCTGGACTGCACCAAGCTTTTCAGATGTTAATAGAGATGTGTACATCCATTTTCCTAAATGGGTTTGATTACCCCTAATATAGATGAGACTTAGAAAAGGTCTCGAGGTTTTGCTCAGCCTTCACAACTAGTAAGGTGCCAAACTGGGTTGTCATCATAAATAGTGTTTTGTTTGGTGTAAAAACTTGAAAATAGTCTAAAGGTCTTCTTGAAAAAGTCAGCCAAGATATTCTTTTCAGGTAGAAGAGAGCAGCTTTTTGCTCTTCTTAAGAAGTCAGAGAGTTAAAAGGGAGACTTCAGATGCTATTTCTGTCTTGAAAGCTAACAGTGTTTCAGATGTGGCAAAATCTGGGCCACAGTAAGTTTTTATAGTGAAAACTATAACAGGTCAGCATGTCGACTTCTGTAGATTTGAAATAGTAGGTTATTTATCCAAAACAGCCATAATATGTTTCCTTTTAAAGCAGAGAAGTTTTGGCTTTTCTTTTTCCCAAGTAAAAGCCCAAAACTTATTAGAAGAGTTCTCTTTTTCCTGAGAATTGAATAATAAAGGCAAAGAGACCAATTGAGAAATAGTTGAAAGTTTTAATTTTTTTTTCCTCAATTTGAGCTACAGTGCTCACAGAAGTTACCACTTCACATCAGCCGGGAAGGAGCTGGAACATGTCAGGGCACCTTTCTGGTGTCTAACACTGCTCTCTCACACAGCTTCCTGGTGGCCATCCTGGGTAGAAATCTTTCCAAAGAGGCTGCCTTTTCTTGCCTTCCTACAGCAGGGCCTGGCTGATACATCTGGCCTTCCAACTAGTCAAGTCTTTGCTACAAATCCAATAATAGTTTTGGGAGATATGTTGGTATTCAGAGTTGTCCCCCTTCCTGGCACACTTTTCGTGGTTACATCTGCTTTGATAGCCTAACTTGTTTTGTTGGTGGCCGGAAATTCTCCTGCTTTTTGTGGCTCTTTCCTAAGCCACATAAACTGTCCCTACCAAGACAGTTCATATTTTCTTGAAGTAGGAGAGCTCCTAAGGCGCTGTCTGCTTTAGCCCCCATATATATGTCCCAATTGTCCACTTCTGATTGCTTAAACCTCTGGGTTTTGGCTGAACCCAGAAAGTTGCTACTGCACCTTATGCCCTAGAACCTACAGGGGCCTTTGGGTGAGAGTGGCCTGAAGTGGCTCTTGCCACTTCACACCAGAAGGTTTCTTGTGTCTCCTGCTTAGATAGGCATGAGCTGCTCTGTAACACGTACACATCAGGCATTTCCAAAAGCAAGCTGGGACCCATGGGCCTTGAAGTCTGCTTTTTGGAACTGAAGTCTCTACCTTGGGAGTGGAGACAAACCCATAGGTTTCCCTGTCATCTGACCACAGCCTGCCTTTGTTTGCTGTTCTCTCCACTCACACCTGCTCCCCTACCTCTTGCTTTGCCCTTCTCTACCTGCTCCTCCTGGCCCAGCAGCTCTGACCTGAGTCAAGAGAAGGCTGTAGAGAATCCTAGAGAAAAGAGTACCTGCAAGCTGCTTGGGGGCAGGAAGTACCTCTCTGGCTCCTTTTGATAGTCCCCATAAGTCACTGAACATGAGTCCCCACAGATCACTGAGCATGAAGCCTGTTCACCTTGTGGTGAACAGAATCAGGTACTCTGGCTCCTTTTGATGGCCTCACAGATCACTGAGCATGAAGTCTCTTCACCTCTTGGTGAACAGAATCAGGTACAAGCAGCCCCCTTAGCTGAGTAAAACCAGAGCTCTGTGGTGGCTCTGAAGAGCTGTACAAAAGAGACTTCCTAGCCGGGCACTGGTGGCTCACACCTGTAATCCTAGCTACTCGGGAGGCTGAGATCTGAGGATCGAGGTTCAAAGCCAGCCTGGGCAGGAAAGTCCGTGAGACTCTTATCTCCAATAAAGCACTAGAAAACCGGAAGTGCCACTGTGGCTCAAGCGGTAGAGCACTGGCCTTGAGCTGAAGAGCGCAGGGACAGCGCCCAAGCCCAGAGTTCAAGTTCCATGACCGACAAAAAAAAAGAGACTTCCTGGTGCATGGAGCAGGACTTGGGCATCAGGAGTCCCACTCTGGCCCCTAAGTACCTCTGAACCTCCATTTCCTCATCTTCAAAGTGGGATAGTGTCTACGTTCTAGGGTTATTTCAAGGAACAAAATAGTGGACAAGAAATCTAGTATATTCTGCTTGATATATGAGGGACTCTCACTCATGCAGCTCGTTGGAGAGCCTGGTGTCCCCAGATATGTGAGGAGACCAGGGCTTCTGAGAGGGCAGATCAGAATTCCCATCCTGCCTCTGGCATTAACCAACAATGTTGTACTTAGAGCCATCTCTTCACCTTTGTAGGCCTCATAACTTAAAAAAAAAAGGGGGGGAAGGGTTAAAAGATTTACTTAGAATGGATTGAAATTACATATGGTATAGAGGGACATCATAGTGCCTGGTATGTAGGCAGCATTTAGTCAATGTCAGTTTGGGACCTTTCTTTCTGACAATGTTTGGTCAAGGAAAAGTATGATGGTATGAATCATATTTTGGAATGGCTGTGTAAGTTAACCCACAGTCAGATGAGTTTGGGTAAATGAGAATAAATGTGGCAATCAGAAATGCCCCCTTAGGATAATAAAAAAAATTTAAAAAAAAGAAATGCCCCCTTGTTGCTGGTGATATCCCTGAGGAAGCATTCCTGTCAGTTGACTGAGCCACTAAAGAGGGTTGCATGAGTTGTCTTCCATCGAACCCAGAGGATCAGAGAATTATGTTCAAGGCTGGAGCAGTCCTGCATGGTGGCTACTAGGTCTATAATCCTAGCAGCTTGGGAGATAGAGATGAGTAGGATCATAGTTCAATACCAGTCTAGGCAAAATAGTGAGACAACCCCATCTCAACAAACAAGCCAGACATGGAGGTTTGTACCTATAATTCCAGCTACTTCAGAGGCTGTAGTTAGGAGAATTATAATCTAAGGTTGGGTGTGGCTCAGGTGGTGAGCACTTGCCTGCAAGCATGAGACCCTAAGTTCAAATTCCTTATACTAAAAACAAACAGACAAACCCTGAGAAACCGTACCAGTTATACCTTTGGACTCGACGAGACCTCTTGTCTGTCCTATGAGAGAGTAGGATCTCCCTTTATTTGCCTTCTAGATTAGTTTTGGTTTTTATTTTGGGTCCGGTCATGGGCCTGAACTCTGAGCCTGGCTGCTGCCCCTCAGCTCTTCAGTTCAAGGCTAGTGCTCTACCACTTGAGCCACAGCACCACTTCTGGCTTGTTTTTTTGCTTATGGGTGCTGAGGAATCGAACCCAGGGCCTCAAGCATGCAAGACAAGCGCTTTACCACTAAGCCACCTTCCCAGCCTGCCTTCTAGATTAGTATTCTACAATCATAGTGATTCCTTACCCTGTGCAGGACACTGCTAGATGCTTTATATACATCCTTTCTAATCTTCCAACTATACTTCAAGGAAGAGATCATCTTGCTTTGCAGATGAGGATGCTGAGGTCCAGAAAGGCTTGTCCTGGGCCATACAGGAAAGAAGTGTCCGATGCTAGTCAAGCCCCATTGATAACCTGGTCAGAATCCATCAGCTAGTCTCTCTGAACAGCTGAGGCCTAAGGGCCACCCCAGACAAGGGAGGAGTAGGCAGGATGTGAACTGAACATGGATCTTAAAACCAACTAGCAACCGAGTCCCACAAACCATTTGTAAAGGGTAAAATATCCCTTGTCATTGCTGAATTTATCAGAGAAGCAGAATACGTGTGTGTGTGTGTGTGTGTGTGTGTGTGTGTGTGTGTGTGTGCTTGAGTGTGTGTTTGTGTGTATGTTTGCTTCTCCATACACAAGGGTCAGTAACTCACTGACAATTCAAGCTGTCACAGCAGCCTTCTCCTGTAACAGAGCCTGTGTCCCATTGGTTAATGTCTCACACCCAGAGGCCCAGAGAGAGGAGTTAAAATGCTAATTTTCAGGGACCGCTCAGTCATTTTGATCCCATTAAAACACCAGCATCCTTCTCATGCAAAACCGGTGCCTCAATTACCAACTAATTGCCTGATTATTGTGCAGGGACAGGAGCTTTCAGTCAGCACCGGCTGCTGTCATCCCACAGGAGCGGCTGAATTAGAGTGTGGGAATGCATGTGCGCAGAGGTTTGGCTCTGGAGGAGACATGTCAGGAAGATGATCTAGGAACAAGACAGGGGTGGGGAACTCAGCTGTCCTCCTTACTTCCCAGTGTCTCCTCTAGCTCCCACAGTGGTAACCTCTCACTTCCTTCCCCACATCAGGTGCTGGAGACATGTGTTAAGAACTGTGGCCACCGCTTCCATATCCTTGTGGCCAACCGAGACTTCATTGACAGCGTTCTGGTCAAAATCATCTCTCCTAAGAACAACCCTCCCACCATTGTACAGGACAAAGTGCTTGCTCTAATCCAGGTAGGCTGGCTTCCCTCACTTGATTTGTTAGGGCCCCTGATGCATCTTCATGCTCTTTGACCATTTGAATGGGGGGGAAATGGTTTCCAGGCTGGGCACTAGTGGCTCATGCCTGTAATCCTACCTACTCAGGAGACTGAGATCTGAGGATCGCGGTTCACCCCAGACAGGAAAGTCTATGAGACTCTTATCTCCAATGAACCACTAGGAAACCAGAAGTGGTTCTGTGGCTCAAGTGGTAGAGTGCTAGCTTTAGCTGAAGAGCTCAGTGTCAGCACCCAGGCCCAGAGTTCAAGCCCCACGACCAAAAAAAAAAAAAGTTTTCAGGTTTAAATATATGCTATAAAATAAGTAATTTTGAAAAAGCAAAACATATTTTTGCATATTCATCCCAATGGAATGAATCACCCCCTAAGTGGTGGCTCTCCAGCCAGTTGACAGAGCCTTCAGAAAACCTTTTGGGTGCCTATCCCTTTGTTGCCCACAAAGGCTGGCAGGTTGGGGTTCCTGGACAGGGTTTTGAGACAATGTAGAATAGGAAGGACCATGTTGGACCTATGTGCAGGGTTTGAGAGGTTGTAGAGCAAGGAAAAATTCTGGGGTAAGAATGGCATTAGGGATGTTTTACTGAAGCAGTGACTTTTCTGTCAGACTCTGAAGAGTAAGGGAAGAGCTTGTGGAAAGATCATAGTATAAGAAGCATCTGAGGCAGAGAAAAGCATGTGCAAAGGCCAAGAAGTATCAGGAAAGCAGTTGACACATTAATATTTATGTAACAAATTACCCAAAGCTTAGCAGCTTATATATCATCTCCTGGTTTCTATGAGCCTGGCACCCAGGAGTAGCTTGACTGGGAGATGTTGGCTTGAGATCTCTCATTAGGTGGTATTTGTCCTGAGGCTCCACTGTGATTGGAGGTTCTGCTTCCAAGATGGTACACACCCTCCTCCCCCAATGGTTATTGACAGGAAGCCTCAGTTCCATGCTAAGTATTAACAGGAGACCTGAGTTTCCCACTAAATGGATGTCCAGAAAGTCATATACATTATCTTTTTTTATTTTTTTTATTTTTATTTTTGGGTCCGGTCATGGGGCCTGAACTCTGGGCCTGGGCGCTGTCCCTCAGCTCTTCAGCTCAAGGCTAGTACTCTACCA